TGGGAGGCTGGGAAAGGAAGGAGGAAGAAAGAGTAGGCGCGGGAGGATGAGGTAGTCGGTGGCTCTGGATATATCCGTAAGGTCGGGGGTGGTTTGGTGGTGTGGGTAACGGTAGTTGGGTTGAGACGAGGCGCCGCGGTGAAGGAGTCGCTCACTCACTTACCACCCTCATGGCTCCGACCACCAACCCCAATACCACGCACACCACCGACCGCCTTTCCCTTTCCCTCCAAGCGTCGTCCTCTCGACAACCGCCACCATCTCTAGCCTGCACCTCGGTGTGCCCGCTGCTTGCCAAGTTGCCTGCCTGCCTGCCTGCCTGCCGGCAGACCAAGTCGTCCCTAACACTACAAAGTCTATATATCCACCGTGTACCCAATGGCCCACCCCGCCTTTCCGCCTCTCACTCCTTTTCAGGCCACCCCTTTGAGAGGTACCGACCCCCATATTGATCGTGGCGCGAACCCTCTTTGCTGGAAAGGCTGCTGCCGTGCCGTGCCGATCCCGACGGGGCTGCTAGGTGTAAGTAAACTTACGCGAATGAAGGTCGGACCGCGTACGTATGCGCCACCGTAACTACGTGTACGTATCGTCGCTTCCCCGAGGACGGGGGCGAGAGTGGATACGTACACGCGGAAATTGAAGGTGAGAAACCGAGGGAGGGAAGGGCGTTCGGGAACGTCTCGCGACGGAGCATCGAGTGCTTTCGGTGTTTCAATGGCGAGAGGAGGAAAACGACGCGTTTGCGTCGAGGTAGATAAAGCTTCTGAATACAACGCCTGGGATCGAACGCATTGTACGAAGGAAAAAGCGTCTGGGAATGCGGAGGATGTCCGTGGTAACCGGTTGGGCCTGCGAAACGGAACAGGTATCGAAGCGCACGTTGGACGATAAAACGCGGACAATTGGAGCGATGGGGATGAACTTGTCGTACGTTAAATAATTAGGTTTGTTTGCAGTCTCGGCCATGTTTTATGTCGGGACGGGACAGAGCCATGACGATGGGGATTCGCATTTATGGGGACCCTGGGTTTACACGTGAAATGTAATTGAGAGATTTGTTCGGATTTATAATCAACTCGTGGTTATACTAATAGTTCTTGTGTTGATCCTCACTTGTACGCGACTCTGTTAATCGCTTGAACGATATGTTGAATAAATTAGCAGGTAATTAGAGACCGTTCAATTAATAGTTTATCCAACGATTAATAATGTAAGGTGCACTGGATAAATTCTGTCAATAATATTCCTCTTTATATAATAAACTATTTAACTTGAAAATCGGGCTAGGACAAAAGAGGATTACCTAACATGAAAAGCATTGTCCAGTTAAGTATTGAGTGGCTGTATCAGAATTCATAATGCGCTCTCAATATTTCAGTTTTGTTAAAAATAGCAGATAACTTAAGACCTACAGGTGTCCCGAATCTATATGCGTGACAGTCAAAGAGTTAAATATGTATTACCTATAGTATAGCATCATTATATAAGGTTAAATATAAATTACCTCTCCTGTCGAATAAATAAAAAATATTAACAGACATGGATGAATGCAAATGTCGACTGAACCAACCTGATAATTGTTTCTTCAGTTTCAATTCGATTCCCTCGTGGCTCCGTCGTTCCACCATGAAGAAATCAAGAGACATTACAGAACTGGCTGTGTCAAAGTATCGTATTCCCTCGGCAGACATCCCGTAGCAGGTTTTCCAGAAGCTTGGCGAGGAGCCTCCGGCATAAAAATTCTATGACACGTCGAAACTTTGGCAACAGCGATTCGTACGGTCGGCTTTCATCCGCGCGGGACGATTCCACGAAACTTATCTCCCGCTAAGCATCTCCGTTCCGACATAAATCCGAGATCATCGAGATTCCCCGCATTTTTATGATAATGCCTCTCTCAGACTCGCTCGTATTCCTCTCGCGACTCCTTTCCCTTCTTCTACCTAGGGGTTGGACAGTTCTCGGAACCATCCGAGTCGAACTTGTTCCATTCTCTTTCCGCCGTCTTTCTTTTGCTCGGTCGTGTTTCCCATTGCCGTCGATTTATCCTGGAAGGAGGTGTACACCTCCTAGCGCTCGTCAAGCTTTCCTTTCCAGGAACACGACAGTCGTAACCGGAGGCTGACTCCCGGTGGCTCTCGCCTGGATAAATAGCGACTGGCCATTACGGGGTAACGAGAGACAGGGGGTCGGTTCTTCGGCGAGAAGGAAACGGATCCTCGAGACCTTTCGTTTCCAGAAAAGTCGAGCGAAGGCACGTAATACGGCTCCTCCGGGGATTCCTTCCTTTGAGAAGTCGTTCGTGGCGCGTGTGTGCGTGTTTTCTTGCGTCCTTCCTGGGGAATTCGTTTCGATCCCCTTTTTATCGGGTGAACTGACTCGCTGGGACGAACCTGCACACCGAGACGAAGGAGGTGAATTTTTCGATGTCGTCGGATTGTCCTCGCCGCGTGCCTTCGTCGCACTTCCAGCCTCGAGCCAATGATAACTGAAATGCCATCGCCCGATCGCCGATCCGGGCGATCTTTTCCGCCACGTTTGGCGCAACGGAAGGAATCTCTGTGTACCGCTTCGAAGGATCCGAACGTCTATTGCTACTGGATATTATTCTGTCTTGGACAATGGCGTCGTGTGATAGGATAGGAACTGTCTGTGACAGTTATTTCAGCTGTTCATTGCACGCATCGATTAAATCCATAAAACAAAATGTTGAGAAATGTTGAGAAATAGAAATCTAAACAATTGATTAAATTTCAGACCTACTCAGTAGAATAAAATTCCCAACCTCCACCTCTTTCTCACCACACTATCCCAACCTAATCTCTTCAACTCCCTCTGGAATTATAATTAAACCCTCCCTCCTTCACCAAACAATAAAACAAGTGACCAATTGTGTTAATCGGTCCTGTACGTACACACTTAGCGCACCCGGTACACCCGTTCAATTAATAGGACCCCCTACCAAATTTCTAGCCCACACATAGGTTCCCACTAGGAAGTTCCCCATGAATATTAAATACCCCCTCCATCGTGTTTTCCCGACGGTTCCCTCGTACGATTAGCCAACGCGTGCTCTCAAAAAGGATACTCGACAGCTTTCTAAATCACGGGTTACCCTATTTCATTTCCTTCGTGGTCGACGCAACGGTCCTCCAGACGTGGCTGGAACGTCTGGAAAGGATGATACCGTGGCGTCGGGGTAATGGACCGAGCCAGAGGTGCCAGTGGATGAGAGACGAAGGGTAATTGAGAAGAGGAGATTTACTTGGGGGTCGAGCGAGGCTGCGTGAGGGTAGTTTACGATGTCGCTCCGGATGGGGGCGCAGTTACCGGGGACAGGAAAAGGGCTCGCGCGTTTATGGGGATGAAGAGGAAAGAGAGACACCATTTTGCCGTATCGGCGACAAAACTGTCGCTCGTAAAACTTCCTGTCGATAATATCTTCGACGCCCAGGATCTTCGTGTCCCTCCAAGTGTATGGACTTTTCGGAAGGACGTTTCGCGTTGTGCCTTAACCGACGCCATCTTCGCGGTTATCGTCTCTATTCTATGGAAAAGAAACTTATGAGCTGGGGCGAACAGCTTAAATGTCGAACCCCATTTTCTGGATAAGTGGAATGAATTATTGTCAGCACTGGTAACTGACGATGTAAAAGAATATTATACTCTTCGGCTACTGATGATTCAATTGCGATACATCGTGCATACTTATTTCATTTTAGATATAACTATGCAAAAATGTATTTTTTATCTTACTTTTGAAAATTAATTACATTATTATTATATGAAATGGTCTCATCTCTATGAAAGCGATAAATTCTCTATACTAAAGGTTTATACAACCCTACACGTCTACACTAAGTGTTCCGATCTAGAATATAAGATTCTAAAATCATGAAGAGATCATATTACAATAAAACTTGATAATAAAGTAGTACCACATAATTGGAACCAAGAAGAAATTTTATTTCAGCACTGTCTTGAAACGTATCGATCAACGGGGGGTGCAAACTCATCTCCCGGAATGAAATTCCCGTCTGAAAGTGTTTCTTCTTTATTGGAAGCGGAAGCGTCGGGTAACTGCGAAGCAAATAAAAATTGCTCGCCTTGATTTTTACGTCTGGCACCTTTTAACCGAGTCAACGATTTTCCGTGTTATTTACTTTACCGCTTTTTCTCGCTGGGAACGACGCCGGAATCGAAACAGGGATACGTAATTTAATTGCACCACGGAACATCGACGGACAAATATTTTATTTCATTCCTGGAACGGGGATGGGGTTGAACGTTTCAACGTCTCGAACGTCCCCTTGGTAGATAGTTTCGTTACTTTCATTCTCGGTATCGACCTTGGTATTACAGCGAAGGATCGACTGTAAAAAGCCTCGATGCAATTGGCGAGATCGCGATAACTCTTGAACCATGCTATATAATCTAAAATTATTAAATATTCAACATTTATATACACATGTGAATATAATTAAAATAAGTAGAGGTAGGAACAACTTTAAAAAAAGATACAGAATTAATTTCTCTAATATACAATAGGATACTGTGACACACTCTCGTTATTAAAATTCAACCATACATTTTAATTTTGTAAATCGGTTGCATTTATTCGATTTCAAGTAACTCGAGATACCTGAAGAATACTTATTTTTTACCCAACGAGAAAACTTAAGAACCAAAGATGTTTCAGTGAGCTTTTGTGGAGTCTAGGATAAGATTCCGGGTGATAAACTTTAACGCTGGTCTTACGACTCCCTTCCACGAATCTCTTGGCTGATACGCGCATCGTCGAACATCGACATAACCTGACAACGATTACCTTTATCCGGCGATGTTTACCGTCTCCGATAAGATAAGAAATATAAGATAAGAAAACTCTTGCAAGCTCTACATGCTCCAACGCTTTTCTGTTCGAACACGACCGTCAGCGTATAACGAATACCAGCTGAAAGCACCGCTCTAACCTCATTTCCCTTGCATTATTCCAGAGGAACTCGATATCGCCAGCCGAGCGCGAGAAGTACAGCAGGCCGCGGAGTACACCGGACCCCCAGCACCACGAGCACATGCACCTGAAGAAAATGAAGAAGGAACAAGACAAAGACATAGGCCACGTAAGTATCTAAGATGGTTCTCCGCCAGCGACGGTATGCCTTAATAAAGCCGTACACGTTTTCCCCGACAGCAAAGCGACGGTGAAAAGAGCGACCAGGACTTGGTCGTGGACGACGCCAGCGAGGGACCAGCGAGTCCCGCGGCGAATGGCACATCGTCGCCTAGGGAGAACGGTCTCGACAAACTGGGACCATCCTCGGTGCCTTTGAGCAGCCAGGTGAAAAAAGAAGTGCCGCCACCCTCGCCGAGGAGCGGCACCAGCAGCAACGCTAGCACGCCCTCGGCCAAGAAGATGGAAGAACGGGAGAAACCGACCACTCCGATCTCAAAACCTGTCACACCTACGTCAGCGGGTTCGTTTCTTCCTCTATTTTTTTTTTAGTAATCGAACTTTCTCTATCGAAATTGTCTTCGAGCGCAAAGGGTTAACAGTTGTTTAAAAAAACTGAGTTTATAACACTTTGTATGGAGCACCCTGTATATATCCTGCAAAGAAAAGGACGCACGAAGAATGACCCAACTTGCTTCGCTTACTTTAAAAATCCTTCTCGATAATAATACCAGAGTGCCCTGCAATTTAGCCATACATCTCACTAAGATTACGAAACATCAAACATTCGAGACTCTCACGACCGGGGTCCTTATATTCAACGCCGCCAGGTGGTTCATTAAGCTTCTCGCGAGACACTAACACTCTCATCCATCCATTTAATCTGCCTACATCCACGTCGCAGATCATTGGTCACTCCAGATCTCCGATCGATCAACCGTGGGATTCGACAAAGTCCATACGGACCCATCAATTTCCTTTCGCCTGTTATTGCTCTTCATTCGAAGAGAATCGTATTTGCGCGAGGCAGCGGATTAAACCGGTGCCATGTTCGCATTAATCAAGATGATGAAAAATACCGAGGCAAGCCTAACGATAAATGTCTGGTCGACAGGTGGTAGCAGCTCCGGCTCCGGTGGTCTGAAACCGTCGAGTTCCAGCAAACCACTGGTCTCGGCTTCGGCGGTCGGCCCTTATCCGCCACACTATCCGCCGCCACATCATCCACCCGCAGGACCTCATGCGGACATGTTGGGTTATCCTCCGGCAGCCCTGAATGGATATCCCACAAGACCACCTCTTCAGCAACTCTACGACCCTCACGGAACCATGAGGGCACCGCTCGGACCTTTCGGCGTACCCGGTGGCAAACCGTAAGTGCTTCACTTCTGGCCACCTTTCACGGTGACGATGGTTCTCGCGTTTCTTTTGTCATTTTCGACGCTGATGCTAAATTACGAGTCTCGTGGGCCAATAAAGAGATGGAGAACTCGACGCAGACTTTGGAGATTGGAAAATATAGCTGGGCTAGTTTAGAGAAAGGTTCGTAGCGAGTGATATAAGCATTCATCGAGCCGTTCGTTGCACTTATCGATGAATTCCATAAAATATAAAGTTGAGAAATGCGATGAAAGAAATTATTTATTATTCAGTGGCCACGGAAATTTTGTCATTTAATGGTGTTAATCTTTATTATACGGGAAAGTTATGACTATATCAAGTGCATCGACACTTAAATTAAAAAATTTTGAAAAAGTGGAGTTAATCGATTTGTACATGGCTCAATTCTTCCAGAGTGGATTCAAAAGAAGTATTTTTAGTGACCTCAGGATTCTTTGACTAAGTCTCGTAGTCTCGTGGAAAGTATAGTACCTTTCTATCTGTGAACGAAGAGTTGAACGCATTGTTCGAGGCTAATTTGTCACTTCAGACTGAAATGTTCTTAAAGATATTAAATACTACCCAAACTCAAATTTGCACCCTACTCGGAAGATAAATCACATCTTCGAAGAAGAAGTTATTGATAAAGTTAGATATGGCTGGCAGATGACTTGACGTTACGCTGGCCTTTGAAGTAAGGGTTAGCCGAAGTTCTGACCACGAGATGAGGAAGGCCTTACCTTCCGTTAAGAGGATTCCAAGGGACAGCAGTTACCCCTGCATCGACAGCAACCCTCGTTTTTAAACCAATTAAACTTTCAAACAGGTTGTCCTTGGCATGGTGTCCTCCTTGATATCAAACAACTTATTAAGTATTTTGTCAGTGGTTGTACTAGCCTGGACCCACCGTTTCTCGTTTGATCGTCAAAGTTAAGCTGTTATGGGCACGGTCAGTGCTTCAATGGGTGATCATCTGTAGGGGGAAAATTAAATCTGAATCATGGGATAACTTGGAGGGGTATCGACAAACTAAGGATGGTATTAACCGAAGTTCATCAAAGGCAATGAATAATTGCTACGTATACTATAACTTTGGTTGTTATTTCTTTCGTGGTTTGGGCCTGTAGATGTAGAATCTTCCAGGGACTGTGTTTTTGCAAAGAAGTATGTTCTATAGTTTTGAGAGATCTCAGATCACTGAACTCTACATTTTAAAATACCAGTTTTATCGGTGTTGTTATTAGTGGCTTTCATGAAATTGTACGTTCTTCGTTATGGTTGGCAATAATAGTCACTAATAAAGTATTTTCCCATCTCCAAAGACGTCGGTATACGATAACTTGAATATTAGAAAATTTATATGTAACATGTGTGTATGTTAATATAAGTATTGGGTTGTCTGGAAAGTTCGTGTCGATTTTTGGTTGAAAAGAAATAACATGCATACGTCCCTTGAAAGATGGGAAGCCTTTGAATTTTTCTTAAAAATTGTCACGAACTTTCTGGACAACCTAATATATTGGGAGAAAAGCGAAATTAGAAACGTTAGGTAGTCGGTGCAATGGCAGAGTAGAGTGTTTAACAAAAACAATTGAATTTCTTTGTTTCGCAGAGCATACAGTTTCCACGTATCGAGCGAAGGCCAGATGCAGCCAGTGCCCTTTCCACCTGATGCTCTAATTGGACAAGGAATACCGCGTCACGCGCGTCAGATAAATACCCTCACGCACGGCGAGGTGGTGTGCGCCGTAACGATCTCAAATCCGACTAAATACGTTTACACCGGCGGCAAAGGATGTGTCAAGGTCTGGGACATCAATCAGGGCGGCAGCGGTAGCGCGAAACACGTTTCGCAACTTGATTGCTTGCAACGAGACAACTACATCAGGTTGGTTACACGTTACGGCACATGACACATTAACTTTCCACTCCGTGTAGCAACCGTGATTCGGTCCTGAATAAATTCTGATTAGCGCCCACCGTGCCACTGTTGCGGTCGCGTTCAACGATACGTGCCATATCCTGCGGAATAATTGCGGTGCCGCGAGAATCGTCTTGATTACTTATCAGGAAACTGATTGGGATATTATCTATTAGATTTTGGAAGAATTATGTTGGATAATGTTCGTCTTGGAAAAAAATACTGTAGGTTGTTTTAGTCGATTCAAGCATTTCAATGTGAACATATATCTTTGAGATATTTGTCAATATGGGTGTGTTTGATAAGATTGAAAAAGAATCGCGTTTTCTTAAGGGTTTTCTTAACACTTGTGGTCAAGATTTTATGGCCATGTATCTTCTTTTTTTAAATAATTGTTTATTATCAGATGTATCGAGGATGTCTCGGATGGTGGAGTCTAAAACGTTTTACACCTGCCCAGTAAACTGCTTGAATCGATTGAGCCAATCAACGATATTTATTACTTTTATCTGTATTTTAAACGTTATTCGCATCGAAATTTACTATATCGGAAACGACTCTACGCAAACGTGAGTGGAATTTAAATAACGGTAAAATATAAAAATATTGAAATTATTGAAAATATTTCTGTACAAAGTAATGAAAAATATTGGCAATTTTTTCATGTAAAATAATTGGAAATATCGGAAATCTTTCGATGTAGCATAATTGAAAATATTGAATACAAATATTATGCTGCATTGAACCACAGAGTGGACCGTTATTGAATGCGCTCGAATACTCGTGGAAAAATTATACTGCGCCATTGTAGATATACACAATAACATGTTTTAATCTGTAAATTGATTTGCCTTGGCAAGTGTATTGAAACAATTTAAACATTTCGACTATCGAAAGGACGATCGTACAAATTGATGCAGATAAATTTGTAAACAAGTGCACAACGTTCTAAAAGCACAAGCAGACACGAATAATAGAATTTCTAGGGAACAAAATAAAAGCAAAAGCATAATTATACGAGAGGGTTAGCTGAATACTTTCGAGATAAATCTATTTATAGATGAAATAACTGTAAACAAATATTCCACGAGTATCTGTAGCTCAATATCATAAGTTATCGTTACGTAAGCATTCCCAATTAATATTTCCTCTTCAAAAATCAACTAACTGAAATATTTTTTTTTCTTTATCGAACAGGTCAGTGAAACTGTTACCGGACGGCAGAACTCTAATAGTGGGAGGTGAGGCGAGCAATCTCAGTATTTGGGATCTGGCGAGTCCGACGCCGCGGATCAAGGCGGAACTGACGTCGAACGCTCCGGCGTGTTACGCTTTGGCCATCTCGCCGGACTCCAAGGTCTGCTTCAGCTGCTGCAGCGACGGCAATATCGCTGTCTGGGACTTGCAGAATCAGTCGTTGGTCAGACAGTTCCAGGGACATACGGACGGTGCGTCGTGCATCGACATCTCCGCCGACGGTTCGAAACTCTGGACAGGCGGTCTGGACAATACCGTGCGCTCTTGGGACCTTCGAGAGGGCAGGCAACTCCAGCAACACGATTTCACATCGCAGATATTCTCCCTAGGATACTGCCCGACCGGCGAGTGGTTGGCGGTTGGCATGGAGAACTCGAACGTCGAGGTTCTGCATGCCACCAAGCCGGACAAGTATCAGCTCCACTTGCACGAGTCCTGCGTGCTTTCGTTACGTTTCGCTACCTGCGGCAAATGGTTCGTCTCCACTGGCAAAGACAATTTGCTGAACGCGTGGCGCACACCTTACGGTGCCTCGATATTCCAGGTAACGATTAAACATCGGCTCGTTACGTATGCATTACGAGCGCTTCTCGAATGAGTCCTTGGATAAAAATGCAGAGGTCGATTAATGCAGTCTTCTTACTAATATCTCTGAAATCTTGACTAGTTCTTAATATTCCATATTGCTATATTACCACCGAAGAACTAGACAAAATACTCTTTAAATACTCTTTAAAAAATTTTTCTCTTAGACTATCCAATCAGACTCTCCATCTTCAATCTGGTCTCACTCCAAAAGCGCCCAACCTCCCCTATAGTACTCGCAATCTTAATTTCGAATAATTAACAAACGTGTAATTTCGCCATGTTACAGTCAAAGGAGTCCTCGTCGGTGCTGAGCTGCGACATCTCCACCGACGACAAGTACATCGTGACGGGATCGGGTGACAAGAAAGCCACCGTCTACGAAGTGATATATTGAACAGTCTACTCGACAATCCTCTCGAACACTGAATACTATCGAACGGATTACGCTTTTATAGTACTCGTGCATGGAAGAAGCAATGAACAGGGTTCAGCTTGTGGAGGGGAAGAGGGAAGTACGTTCCGGAACCATGCACTGAAGCTGCGTTGAACCGAGGGATGTCGCAACCCTCTGTACCAAGAGGAGACTGTCGATTTTTTTTTTTTGTGAATTGAGCGATGCGTCGGCGTGTGTTATATTTGTTAAATTTGAATCAATTGTAGCTACTGGCGTGAATGGACGATTGAAGCGAAGAACTGAAGTTACGGTATATAGATGTATGTAAATATATATAAATATATATATATATTTATGTATATGTATATATATATATTTATATATATACAAAAGTGGAAGAACGTTTTAGCTATTTAAGATTGTATAGAGCGCATGGTTATAAATAGGCTGAAGACGATTTCAAGTGAGACTATGCGAGTGACGTTCTACTCGATGATCATGTGGTGCCGTGGAGATAGGTCGACTTCGAGCAAATGAAGTCGCTTGTGTAATATGTTACTAATGTAATATAGAGTTTTACGATTAAGTACCATACGCGTGACTGTGAGAGGCGCACGGTGGATATTGTTGCTTCGACATTTTCACTACGCGCGATGTCTTCGTGCTTCGCTGTCGACGACGAACGAACGAATGCCTGAGGAAGACGTGTACGAAGAACAGAGATCTAGCGTGTAGACCCGTCAACGTAGGAATGTGTGTACGTGTGTTGCAGGATTCCACGTAATATATCGAACACACGAGTAGCGAAAAGAGAGCGTCTATGGTGTATAGCGGATATAGGGCTATGAACTGATGTAATTTTCGATCGTGCTAAGGAATGCGTAAGATAAAAACAAAGAAACGAAGCCGAGACGTTGCGTGACCTTTGGTATTTCCATTCGCGAAGAGTAATTAATGATTTGTACTCGTACGATAAGCCTCGGTTAGATACTTTGTTCTTTCGTTGCTCTTCTCTCTGTGTCGCTGACTACCAACTATGTTCGGTAACTATGGAAATTTTGTGAAAGGCACGGAAGGATACAAGGCAGAACGAAAATACGCGCTCGACCTTTTGACATTTTCCAGAGGAAGTATCTGCGTACGTCCACGGACAAAAGAGATAACCGAAACTTTTTCTGTTGTACCGTAATCGGTATCGCCGAAGAAAATTCCGAGTTCGCTCGCGTCGCGCGACTTCTCAGTACATCGTGTCCTCGTTCGCGACGGATCTCGATATGCTTGACTTTCGTAGAAAGATCTTGGAGTCTTCGTAGCGTATATTTTCACCCCCCCCCCCCCCCATCCGTTAATCTTGTTACGAGGAAACGTCCGACAATCGAGTAATCCAAAAGGTGTCTCATGAAAATGCATTTGTCTCGTTGTACCTCCGTTACAGATCCTGCAGATTTGAATTTTTCGTCGTCGAACCGCGCACGATGTATTTTACGACGTTGTTCTGTCGCGAGAGAACGAAAGTTTCGCTCCCCACACCCACATGTAACGGAAATCCAGTCGTATTCGATGGTGATACACGTGAAGTTAGACGGACGCCTGTAGGCGCACGGTTATTGCCGTTCCCAGGCACCGATCGCGTATACACGAACGAAAATAGAGAGGGAAACAATGGAAAACACACGGGCTACGCTCATAGACATGTTCTTTGCAAGATGTTCAACGAGATATTTTTGTGACTGTCCACGATGGCTCTAGGTTGAAACCGAACGACCCGGTCGAGGGGGATACGTTATAATCGTTATTGAATTTATATCAACAGGATCAAATTGACCGCATTTAAGTACACATTGACGATTTTCTTCATGGCTGCGAGGACGGCGTATGAAATTCATAGGGTAATAGGTAGCGCGTTATCATTCGGATCTGAATACGGTGAAAGCAGGGGATGCATAATGGAGATTTATATTTTGTTACAGGATGACACACGTTTACATTCGCTGTGATCGTCGTAGAATCGACGCAGTATACTGCCGCGCGAGGATTAACGTTTACGTGACGATATACGAATTACGACGCGATAAGAAACGGGAAGGGAAGAAACGATATAAACGGAACAAAAAAAAAAAAGAAGTAAATAAAAATGCGGATAGATTTTCGACGAACACAGCTCCGACGATAGACCAATAGAAACAACGATACCTCAAGAAGACTCAATAGTTAATTATCTCTTACGAATTAACTTGTACAGAATCGATATTCTTTTACAGTGAATAATACGCATACCCACGCAATTGCATAGACACACGTAAAAAAAAAAACACATACAATACACACGTACTGACGCACTAGAAAGAACAACAGCGAAGAATATAAAAGACAGCGAGATCGCGTCTCGACCACCCCGCAATAACTCATTAATTGTGTCCCGCATTCACTGAATTGTGTCTCCGCAATTTGCACTCCGTGTGTAAGAAAGTAAAACGAATGCGTTTCTAGCAGAGAAAAAAAGACAGACAAGTGTTAATCCTTTCCAAGCACAGTTCATGTTGTTCCTATAGCTACGCGAAAATTGTTTCTTTCGACAATTAAATCATCTATATCTATATACACAGTAAGTTTTATTAATCGTCGTTGATCCCCTTCCTTGTCCTTTTCGCACATATTAAATTCGATTTGTAAATGATTGTACGTGTAATTTTAATTCGCAGATAATTAATGTTTGATTGGCCTTATATGAATGAATTAAAATAGAAATGTTGTACGCAGTAATTATTTCATCAGTCTTTTTGCATTTTTAAAATAACTGTTCCCTTGGTAGTAGTTACGATTTCGTGTTAAAAAGAAGTAAGCAACAGAAGAACACCTTAAATTAAACAGTAAATTTTTATGAGATTTGTTGCTTCATTGTTTATATAAACTAACTAGTGCACAAATGCAAGATTCCAATGCTGTACCAATATTTTTTTACTTATTGATAAGCATTATAAAAAATAGACAGATGAAAATTTTTGTGATTGTATACCGATACTTTCATTGTTAATTTATCAGTATTTTTAGTAATGTTCCTATTATATACTGTAACTAATGTAAACTCTTTTCTATTGTATTCATGTGAGGATCCGAGAGTTCTTGATTACTCAAATGTTAATATTAAATTCGTATATCACTACTTGCACATCACTATTCAAATATTATTCGAATAGTATTTAAATTATATTTGTCGAATACTTGAATTATTTAAGTGTTCGAATACTCTAGTACGGAAACATTCAACAAATCCATTCCATTTGCAGTTTCAATTTAAATAAACGCTGTTTTAAAAGTTGGATACTATCGTGGATACTGCCGCCACCTTACAGCTAATTAGCGAAGCAATATCTGCGCCAACTTAGAACTTATAAGGACGTGGCGGGACGCGTCAATATGGCCGCCAGTGGCTGGCATGTGTGTTTACTCGCTAATTAGTTTCGTAATTTTTAGAGACGTATTAGTGTGAATTAAACTCTGTGACAAGATGAATATGTCAGTGGAGAAGAAGAAGTACCCGTCGGCGTTGCCAACAAATTGGCCGACGAGGGAAGAGTCCGCTAGGAAAAGTCAAAACCAATTGTCAACCACAGGAAAGGTGGACGTTTATTATTACAGGTGGGTCTTGCCTTGTGAAATTCATCCAAATTTTGATGACATAAACTTACTGTACAGTGTTTAAAAACTGCTAAAATTACGCTCTATTAATATCGGTGATCCTAACCTCACTTATGTATCACATATATGCGATACAGTTTTATTTAGATAGTAAACAGTAAAAGTCACAAGTAAAATCCAGATGTAACAATGTATTCGTAACGTTTATTCGATCGAACAATTAAATTTTCATTTGTTCATTGTAAAACATTTACTTCTATAGTTTAAATTTTAATTTTTATTAAAAAAGTAATTAATAAAAGTTGTTTATCTTTTACACATAATTCAAAATATTTTATTTAGATAAGAATTTTGACCATTTCTGGTAAATGAGTATTGTATATTTTGTTTGCAGTCGAGGAGTAAGGAATGATGCATCGCTGGTACCACCAATAAGGCAGACTGCATCTATTTTCAAACAACCTGTGACCATTTACAAGACTCAAGAAGGAAAGGTGAAAGACATTAAGCATGGAAATCAAGAAAAACCAAAACAGGTTAGCATTTGTTATTTAATATGTTTGTACATGTGTAAAATACAAATATTTATATATATATATTGAATTATTAAAATCTTACGATAATTCATCTTGATGTTCCTCAGTGTTGATACTTTTATTTTCAAGGAAATGAATTCTTATAATACCTTCTGGAATTAATATGTAGTTATTATTTTATAGGGAGTTATTACTCTCCTTAATGCACTGGCTTAAAATAACTAATGAAATTGTACATAAAATTTGTAACATTATCTAATAATAATAATTGTATCCCGCCCCTCCCATACATGGAAATAATACTCTAAGAATTTGTGTCACCATCATAAATATAATATCATTAAAATTTATGATTTAGTTTATTATGGCATTTAACTTTGTTCCTTGTGTAAATTCTCATGGTACAATCATCGAATCATTCGTTTAGGAAGGAGCCGATAAAACTGATGGCAAATATGGCTCCCAAGATAAGCCTAAACAGGTAACATTGTTCGATGTGCTTATGGAATCATTATTGTTTATGTGTTTGTTTCTTTCTGTTGATGAATTCATAATATTCTGTGTAAAATGTCGATGTCCAGTAATTTCGATCATCAACCATTTTATAAACGATCGTCTAATGCATGTATGTATCATCAGGAACCTTTAGATTACATAAACATTTCGCAAAATTTGAAATCGTAAGAAGTATAATTTTTTATTCAATCTATGCAGAGTATTGCGTTATTTTATGTTTTGCTTCGTCTTCTATCATCAACTCTTCGTTAGTCTAATTATAACATAATCGAAGCAATCTTTCGAAAATTTACATTTAACCGAACACTGTACAGTAGAGCTCCATTTATCCGAACTTGCGAGTGTCGCTTATGGTAATTCGTGAACTCCAGTTATCCGAACCTGTTTGTCTTCCGACCGATTCGAACAAATGGAGTTCTACTGCAATTTTGCTTGCGATATGGAGCGAACATATTTTGCTTCAGTAATTAGATCATTCTTGTGCGTGTTAAGTATTATCGTCATACATACGATATTATTATTGTTCGATATACGAAATCGATGGTTGCTATATACGATTAATACATCTAATATTGCAGTTATTTTGGGAAAAACGTTTGGAAGGTTTAAGGGCATGCGACCCTGACGGTTTTGAATTCGATGCAATGGATTTACCGAAAAGTTTGAAACCTGTGGGACCATACATTACCGAGGAAACTTTGCTGCAAAGCGTTGCTACAGCGCTACACGTTTCGTCTCAGCCTGTCACGGGACAAACGGGGTCAAAGACAGCTCTAGAGAAGAATCCCGGGGTATTTCTTAATCCCGATCAACCCCTCGTACAGGTAGAATAGACATTTGAATTCTATATAGGGTGTTACTTTACTCTGTTAGAATACATGTGTGTTAAATACACTTAAACGTACATTCCACACCCTATCGAATGTAAATAATTATGTACTGGAGGTTCGAAAGGGCATTGCAACAGAGACACACTGACAATTATAATTACGCCGCATCCGAAAATGATTGTCATGGCAAGGAACGAACGAGACTATTTACATTACAGGCCGTTTCAATAGCTGACGAGGACATCAAGAGACAAGAGGACCGAGTCGCCCTGGCTAGGAAAAAGCTGCAAGACGCGCTACGAGGGGTCCCTACGTAAATTGTACAATTTCTTTTAGATACATTTTCATTCGCTCATCCCTAGTCTTAAGTTCGCTATACATTAAATCATGCCAGTTTTTATGAATAAATGTTTTTTAAAGGAATAAAAGACCATCACACAACACGAATTCCCATGTAAATTTTTCAAACGCATCAAAATCGTCTTCAATCATACGAACGTGGCTCGACGATTTTCTCTATACTGCGATCTACCTGCAACGTTATTGCGCAGAAAATGTCAACAGCGCGCAATCGATGAATTCACAAGGTTATTCGCTCATTCCGGGAACGGTTTCGACACCGCGATAAAATCGGGTTCAATGGGAGAAAGGGAGTGATTCGAACAGGTCAGTTGGCGCGGCCGTAAAATCCAATTTCGCTTTTCGTTACGAGCTGCTGATAATTTCGACGGCGAAACACTGTAGTTATCCGGCATCTGCCCGGATTTTCGGTGTTCTCTGAAAACTGAGAAGGGTCCCGTGGGCCGCGAGAATTCGAGAATTCCACGGATCGCGGTCGAACAGGACTGGCAGGAAGGGAGCCGCATCTGGCTTCGCACGGACCGGAAACGAGGCCGCACGAAATGATCCCTGAAGCGAACAGTTCCGCGCGAGAAAAAGTAGTAACACGCGTGCGATAGGCCATATGCAGTCGCGTTACATTAATTACGTCCGCTGCTCGGACAATTTTCGATCGTTACAGCCGTGCGAACGACCAAGGTACGTTTGCAATTATACGGAATGTTACTAAACTGTTTAGCTAAATAATAGTATCCTGTGTCAACTTACTAGCACTCATTTGGTCACTCGTTTGGTGTCTGGCAGAGGACGCAAGATGACGACTAGGAAGAAATGTATCATCTCGATACGTAGATAACAAAGAAGAAACCCCTTTAGACTTATTAGATCCAGTACAGGTATATGAAACTAGTACATTAACCCTTAAATGTCTTAAGTTTCAAATTTGATACCGGACTTTTAAATCGAATTGTAATTGGTTTGTTGCACTTGCAATTGGTTTGTTTTTAATATTTGGCTGTGTGTATGTTACCACTGCATAATGTTCTTTTAAACAAAAGTTCAGATTATAAATACATTGATATTTTTTTAACTGTAATTTGGAAAATCAGGCTTCCAAGGGTTAACACGTTGATTGCCAGACTGCCAGATTGAAAGGTCTGCAAGACTAAAATTTTTAGAAACTGTAGAATCTAACATTTGTCATATTACTTATTTCTGTATTTTCATCAAAATTTACGAATTCTCTCCAGATTTATTTTCATTAGCATTTAGCTCTTAAAGTTAATTATTGAAGTTCCTTAATGAAAAGCTCTGTCTATTTATTTTCATTAACATTTAGCTCTTAAAGTTAATTATTGAAGTTCCTTAATGAAAAGCTCTGTCGCCCACGTATGGGTGGCGTGGCGTTAAACGTGTTAAAAATGAATACTACTTAAACTTTATCATCTACCACTTACACTCCCCTATATATTTATATATCCGGCTAAATGGCGCGGGGGTCGACGAAACTGCAACCTCTCGCGAAAGTCCCACAGAACTGAAGACACGCCTGTGTTACGCGACGATACCACGTTTAGCGAGGACGACCTCGAGGCTCGCGTAGAGTAGATTCCCAAAACATCTTTCTCATCGCACGACAGTAGCTTTGTGCCGTGCAGTTTCGTACGACGAGGACACGGTCGTCTGGGAATGGGTGCGTGCCCCGGGCCCCCAGCACAAAAGAATGCTCGGGCAGGTAT